GCTAAACCTATTACTTCCAAACCCCCTCCTTCACTCCCTCCCCATCTCTAGTATCCTTAGGTTTGTTCTCTCCTTCTGAAAGTTCAACTTATTATTGCGGTCTTTTTCTTCTTTCTTTCCTTCATCCCTTCCTCTCTCCTTCTTTCCTCCCTCCCTTCCTTCCTAGCAGCCAGTTATGAGTGACAACGTGTGGTATTTCTGTTTCTTTGTCTGGCTTATTTCAGTTAACATAATTTTCTCCAGACTCATCCACGTTGCTGCAAATGGCAGAATTTGATTCTTTTTTTTTTATGGTTGAGTAGTATTCCATTGTGTATATATACATTTTCTTTATCCAGTCGTCCATCGATGGACACTCAGGTTGGTTCCATATCTTGGCTATTGTAAATAGAGCTGCAATGAACATGGGACTGCAGGTATCCAATTTGACATGATGATTTCCATTCCTTTGGATATATACCCAGCAGTGGGATTGCTGGATCATATGGTAGCTCTACCTGTAGTTGTCTGAGAAACCTCCATACTGTTTTCCATAATGGCTGGCTGTAATAATTTACATTCCCACCAACAGTGTAGAAGAGTTCCCCTTTCCCTACATCCTCGCCAACATGTGTTATTCTCAGTCTTTTTAATACTTGCCAGTCTAGATGGGGCGAGATGATAACTTAATGTGGTTTGAATTTGCATTTCTCTGATGATTCTAACTAAACTTCTTAACCGGCTAATTTTCATTGATTACATGCATTCGACACCTCCATTTACTTTAAAATGCAAAACTATTAAATATTAAATGATGCACATTGCCATCTATTTTGTATAAAGTCCTGTATATTAGATTTCACTATTCTTCATCCATTCTCTTGTGGTTATGTACAATTATGGTAATTGTACTGTAAATTAATGAAATGAATCCATTTAATTTTAAAATTAAACTTGCATATCTATAAATATTTTTGCAATCTATTATTTTCACATTGATTTTAGTAAAACTGAGACAACTAAATTTAGGGAAACTACTAGGTGATTTTTTGTGTTTGTTCGTTATGTTTTTCTGCTTTACGGATTTCTAAATAATTAATTTTAATGCTTCAACATTTATAGTAGGTTTTTAAAAAAAATTTTTGAAACCTGGCCTTAAAACATTTTCATCCTTAAGACTCAGATTTCACTGTATTACCTAAACATATATTGAGCTTGTTTTTTATCTCAGTAAGAGGCTGGAAGTGAAGTGTGCCTTAATAAATATGCATTGTAGTGTGAGTAAATGCATGCATGTTTCTGGAGTGGAGAAAGGGTTGCTCTGTGCAGTGGGAAATAATAGAAATAATTGCTTTTACATTCTCATTGAATTAATTGATATGTTACATAGCTATGGAATAGAATAAAACCATGCTATTGTAAGTGAAAGTTAAAAGTTTAATTACAGAAAATTTCAGATATTATTTTACTTTCAATCTGATATATGATCAAGTATTTTATTAAAATATGTGTTGAACATGTATTTGTATCTTTTATAAATATGTGAAAGTAATAATTTTGGAACAATTTATTCAAAGTAAAAGTGGAAGTTATTTAATTTGGTTCATTTAGTATGGTTATCTTCTGGCTTGTTATGTGATTATCTTAGTTGCTTGAATGTATTTTCATTTTAATTGTTTTTGATAAATTACTTCTAAGGAATGAAATCAAATCCTAAAAAGTAGTGTAATAAAGTCTAACCTTTACCTTTGTCTTTTTATATTTTACTTTCACAGGCAGTTTTCATTTGGTCATTGGTGCAATTTCATAGGCCTGAGTATGCCGAAATTCCATACCCTGACTGGGGAGTTGCTCTAGGCTGGTGTATGATTATTTTCTGTATTATCTGGATTCCAATTATGGCTATCATAAAAATAATTCAGGCTAAAGGAAACATCTTTCAGGTAAGCACATTAAATTAATTTTTATACTTTGTATAAAGTACTTATGATCAAAATTAAGATTAATGTACTTATATGGTGGTAATATGCGATTACATGAGATAAAATTAATCACTTTTCCTCTTGGCTACTTCTATACCTAATACAATCATCTGTTACTAGTGTATGATGTATTGCATTCTATATATATTTGTGTGCCTCTATGTGTTAGACTATAATAAACTCCTTGTAGAGCTTGGTTTGCTTGTTGCTGTATCCTCAGGCCTTTAAACAGCTATGATATCTGTATTGTACTGATTTGTCCCTGAAGATGTCACAAAGAAAATGACCTTTTTACTTTATATGTATAATCTCTACTTTTAAAATCTCATTTTGTTATAATATACATCCTAATAGTGTGTTCAGACTAGAATAAGCCTGGTAAATTATTTTGAACCCAGTCTAGACCCTGAGTCATCCCTCTTCCATGGAGGCTTAGAGGGATAGAGTTGATTATGATACCTCACTAGGACAATGATAGGATAGGCTGAGGAGCCTCAAATTTAAATAAATTCCTGAGCCCATCCAAGAATGGATCTAAATCAGTGGTTTGACCCTGGAGCTCCCTTTTCTTGGTTCTTGAAACAAATCCCAGGTACATACTGGTTAAAATCCTCACATTACCCTCACTCTATGGCCAGGATGGAAATGCCTGAGAATTCAGTGAAGGGACATGTAGTAACAGTTACTCTGATGGGCTCACACAACTTCCTGTGAAATCGTTACATACTCATTTATTTTGGTTTAGTAGTTAATATAATTCTACTCACAATTAGCTAAATTTGATTATAATTTTTTCTCAGTAGACTATGTATTATTAAGAATTTATACTAAAACTTATTATTTTTTTTTGGTTCTTATTTCACTTTTGTTAGCAAAGAAACTTTTTAAATGAAAATATAGTTTAATATTTGCTTATTCACGGATTGTAGCACTGAAATTCAAAGACAGTAATTGTTTCGTTTTTGCTTTTCAGCGCATTGTAAGTTGCTGCAGACCAGCTTCTAACTGGGGTCCATACCTAGAACAACATCGTGGGGAGAGATATAAAGGCATGGTAGATCCTAAAAAGGAGACCGACCATGAAATACCTACTGTTAGTGGTGGTAGAGAACCAGAATAAGATCTCATTTTTTAAAATATATGTTGCATAATGTGATTGTTTTAGATTAGGGGAAAATTTTATTTATTTGTATGTCAATTGAGTAGAAAAATGTACATACTATGTTCATAATAGTGTGATAATTTTTTCCCATTTAAGCAGTAATGTAATATAAAATGTAAATCTATTCATGTTTAGCAATGTACTTATTATATTTCTTTTTAGATTATCTGTATAAAACACAAACAAATAATTGTCTATTTCACAGTAACATTTTTGTAAATATTGCCATAATGTTTTCTAATACATTGGAGGCTTTATTTTGAACTGAATACTTAGAAAATAGTTATATTTTCTATTACACAAATTTTAAAAATTTATTTGCTTCTATTTTCTTAATAAACAATCTTTCTTTTCTACAAAGCTGGAGGAAAATAAATTAGTATCTTTCAAAAATGTGTTACAAACTGAAGGCCTTACTTCATGCATTTGTTATGGCTCATGTTTTCTGTGTTAATTTAGTAGTCCTGTTCTCTATTCACAAAGAGTGAAATAAAACAGAAAAAAGAGGATCGTATGGCCAGTAAGTGATAAATCTAGAAAATGGGACTCAGGAGTTTTTAATACTTCTTTTTCCATATATTGTCTTCCTTCCTTAGCTTACAAGAAAACTATAACTCATCTAATTTCTATTGTGTTTCACAAAATTAATAGTTTGTTTTACTCTCTGAAATCCAGGTTTAATTTCAAATAGAATATAGACCAAAATGTTAATGAGAAAACAACTTTAATCAAATCTTGCATTTTATGATTATGATATATGGCTAATAGATCAAGTAAATCTTATGTGAATAAATTACTACCTATGGCAAGTGAATGACAATAGAAGAAATAATTTTTCTTATACATTTAAATTCCTTTTCCTTTTGATTGAAGATTAAAGTAAGTAATTAAGGCATTTATTTTATACTTGTAATTCATTTGGGGGGGGAGGGGGCATGAAGGTAGGTAAATAGGTAGGCCTGTGATTGAACCATCTCAGTGAGTTACATACATATATATGAAATAAACTCATGTTTGATATTTTGAGGGTTTTCTTTGAGGGTAGATCAAGTGCTGTTAGTGAACTTCAAGAGATTAACTCCTTAATTATACTGGGTTTTATAAAACATTTGTTTGAAATAGATGTCTGCCTAGCACTTAGAAATACTTTTTCTTAATTTTAATACATATTACATTACATGCATTCTACTACTATATTTTGGTGCTATTTGAGGTGTGGATTTTTCACCAAACAGAAAATTGCATGCATTTTTCTAGGTAACCCTTGTAATTCAGGGAAGATTTAGGCACATTTTAAGTGAAAGAATATCTAACTGGGGGAGGAGGAAGATGTGAAGTGGAAGAAATCCCTTTCAATAGCTGACCACAAAGAGTTAAGAGTTTGTGCCCCTATCTTCGCAAGTGTGTAAAGCACAGATTTTAATGGTGTGCTTGCATATTGTAGGTGCTCAGTGATAGGTCTTATTATTGCACAGATTCAACAGTGGCAAACAGTATTTTGCATAATGGAAAAGAATTCCATCAAATCCCACTTACTTTAATGTAAACTTAGAGACAATAGCAGTATTGTAAGTCGTTAGAGGAAGCTATTTTTCACACTTGAGTGAAATTAAAATCACTATATTTTAACTCTTCTTTTTACTGTAACTTACTTAAAAAATACATACTTTTGAACTGGTTTTCTTTCTCTATTGTTTTTGTTCCTTCCCCAGTTAAATATATATTAGCAACATGTAATCAATTCGTTAAATACAGTGTAAGCAAATTGATAAATATCTGGACTTTGTACCTAACTTGGTACTCCCTCCCCTTTTAAATAATTCATTTGGTATAAACACACTCAAGTGAATTCACTCAAAGTGTCTTTAATGATTGCCTCAACTGTCACCGTCATTACATTCTGTAAGGTTTTCAGTGGATTTCCAGTTAACTAATGCACCATTTAAACCTTTGGTAACTACAATATGTTCCAATTCAGCCAGCTTGTATTCCGTGATACTGAGGCTTATCAATATCCGCTTCTGCATGGCTATGGAGTTTGGGAAATTATTTAAAATATCCCAAGAGAAGCTGTTAACTGGAAAACTCTTATTACTGTTGCTCTTAGTTTACCCAGTAGTTCTTACTAGTGCAAGAGAAGTCGAATTTGATGACATTTTGACACTGTTTCTCTGTAAAAGAAAGAAAAAATACATGTTTATTAAAATTAGCAATTTCTAAATGTTATCAAATAACAACTTGGTTAATAGTGGTTAGCAAAATGAACTTATTACCCCTGAAAGCTAGAGATTAAGAATGTGTTGAATGACTATATTGATTCGGAAATAACGTTCTTCCCAAACACAGATTGAGAAAAATATGACAGTAGCTTGGAGTGCTGTATCCTTTGATTACATTTCTTGGGCAGTCCAGCGGGTCTACATATGGACCCTGTCTTTGATCTTTATCTAAAAGCACTTCACTTGCAACTGTAAATAACACCAGGAAACCCACATTTAGACCTGAATTATTTGTGAATGCAGAAAGCTCCCATGAAGATGGTGGGAGAAGCAAAAAAACATGGGAGTAGAAAAAGCGCAACCCACGCACTTACTGCCATTTGATCTTCGACAAAGGCATTAAGTCTATTCACTGGGGTCGGGACTCCCTCTTCAGCAAAGGGTGCTGGGATAACTGGTTATCCATTTGCAGGAGATTGAAACTAGACCCACATCTCTCACCATTTACTAAAATCAACTCAAAATGGATTAAGGATTTAAATATACACCCTGAAACAATAAAACTTATTAAAGAAAATATAGGAGAAACCCTTCAGCAAATAGGGCTGGGCACAGACTTCATGAATATGACCCCAAAAGCATGGGCAACCAAAGGAAAAATAAACAAATGGGACTATATCAAACTGAAAAGTTTCTGCACAGCAAAAGAAACAATTAACAGAGCTAAAAGACAGCCAACAGAGTGGGAGAAAATATTTGCAAAATACATATCTGACAAAGGACTAATATCCAGAATATATAAGGAACTCAAACAACTTTACAAGGAAAAAACAAGCAACCCAATTAAAAAATGGGCAAAAGAGCTAAGTAGGCATTTCTCTAAAGAAGATATGCAAATGGCCAACAGTCATATGAAAAAATGCTCAACATCACTCAGCATCCGGGAAATGCAAATCAAAACCACACTGAGATACCATCTCACCCCAGTTAGGATGGCTAAAATCCAAAAGACGCTGAACGATAAATGCTGGCGTGGTTGCGGAGAAAAAGGAACTCTCTTACATTGTTGGTGGGAATGCATAATGGTGCAACCCCTATGGAAAATGGTTTGGAGGTTCCTTAAACAGCTGAAGATAGATCTACCATACGACGCAGCTATCCCACTGCTGGGAATATATCCAAAGGAATGGAAATCATCAAGTCGAAGGTATACTTGTTTCCCAATGTTCATTGCAGCACTCTTCACAATAGCCAAGAGCTGGAATCAGCCCAAATGTCCATCATCGGATGAGTGGATATGGAAAATGTGGTATATCTACACAATGGAATACTACTCAGCTATAAAAATGAATGAAATACTGCCATTTGCAACAACATGGATGGACCTTGAAAGAATAATATTAAGTGAAACGAGTCAGGCAGTGAAAAAGAAATACCACATGTTTTCACTTATTGGAGGGAGCTAAAGGTGAATGAATCAATTCACACACATACATACACACACACACACTCTCACACACACTCACACATCAACAAACAAACAGCAACAACAACAACAACAAACCCGGGGTGGGGGGGAGAGGAAGATTTAAGAACCTCAACTTTTTTTTTTTTTTTTTGAAGCTCTTACAACAAGAAAATGGAGGGGACACATCTGGATGGGAGTGGGGAGAGGGAGGAGGGAGGGAGGTTTTGGTGATGGGACACAATAACTAACTACATTGTATATTGACAAAATAAAAATAAAAAAAAGAAAAAAAAAAAGGACAGAAGCAAACCTAAAAAAAAAAAAAAAGAAAAAGAAAAAGCGAGGAGAGGTACAGATTCTTAAAACGGGAGGTAGTGGTGGGGAACAGGCACTTTCAGCTGCACTTTTCTCTTCAGGTTGGTGAAAAGCTAACCCTACCACTTAGTGACTAGAGGCTTTTTACAACGGATTTCAACAGTCGAATCACTGGTCAAAATGGGGAAATCGCGAGGGTAAGGAGTAAAATGTATGGGACATTTTCGCGGGAAAATGAGGAATGAGATTATCTACCCTTAAGTCTTATACCCTCATACACTCCCCAACCCACGTATTCATCGAGCTTCGTATAATTCCAATCTCTTACATATACCCTTACCAGAAACTTTTTTCCAGAAGACAGGCACAAAGGCGAACATAAGGCAGCTCACTAGGAGGAAAAAGATGTTCATGTCTCCTCTGTGGTCTCTTCTCCTTTCTCGGGAACAGAGGCACCTGCTGGCAGTTGGGAAGCAGGGGGCCGGCCGCTCTAGCCACCCAGTTTGGAGAAGGCGCCGGCCAGGGTGCTAGGCGACCCACACAGCTTGGTGCAACTGGGATGCTGGGCGGTGTCTAGCTGTCTAGCCTTATATGCCATAGAGGGGTGCGACCTCACAATGGGGCACGCACGTGGCAGAGCTACGTCACAATCTGATGACGTAAAACCTGATCAGCATGAAACCTGGTGGTACTTAGTAATCTCCCATTTGGTTACTGTCTCTGGTCGGTCGTTGGAGAGGAGAGTAAGAGACAATGACGGAGTTTGGGATTTTCAGGAAGCTGATATATGGTAGAAGTACAAACCCCAAATGAGCTGTTTAAACATAAGATTTAAGAAGTACTTCTCCCTCCTTTAAAACAAACAAACAGACAAACAAAAAACCCAAGTATGTTTGCTGCAATCACTCCATTATTCATTTCAAAAGCAAGTTCAAAAACAAGGTAGGAATATACTGTAAAAAATAACCACAAATTGTCTTTGCCAGAAACTGCGCTTCCTCCTCACTTTTATTGCTAGTTTAGGATCTACTCTAATTCCAGTTACATTGGAATAATTTTATACATTTGTGTCATTTGACAGTTTATAAGGTAATTTTGGGGATGTTTTCTCATGTAATCTTCACAGCAAATTTGTGCTATAGGTATTTTTTAACACCATGTCTATTTTTGCAAATGCAGAAACAGATTCCGGGGTAAACCTCATTTCAAACTAGCAGGAAAAGAAGGACTTGAAACTATGCAGTTTGAGCCCTGAGATAAACTTATGCATTTCCTCATTCCCATCCCTATCTCCACGACCTCCACCTCCACTCTGACTTGTGAACATCAATTATTGAATATTTACCAACCAAGAAATTGAACAGTGTATTTGGATAAGTATCAATGAAAGGTACCAGGAATCACTGCATTAGACAAGTTAGAAATGTTCAAGAAATTCAGCTAAATGTAGGAGATGACACAACTAAAAACCCAGAACTAAAGACAATAGGCTAATCTCAAAGTGAATATCAAACTGCAACCCACTAACTTTGCTTGGGGAACAACTCTCATCTTCATATAGACAGGAAAAAGAATTACACTAAAATTATTTTTTATATCACACTGTTTCCTAATTATAAGTTCAAAGCTTAAGGTTATATTCATTCAACAAATATTTATTAAACACCTAAATACTGGACACTGTGATGTATTCTAGGATTGCAATTATGAGCAAAAATAAAGTCTCTGTCCACCTGGAATGTGCACTCTAGTGTGGGAGACATTAATCAAATATGTAAATTAATGTAAAAATGCTGTGATAAATGATAGCAAGAAGTACATGGTGGCATTGGAGCTCATTATAGGACATTAGACATAAAGGAGAGTGAAACTCTTGGCTTTATGGCTTATTCAATTGGGTAGATGGGGAATAACCAAGTATGGGTTTCAGGTGTTTTTGAGACATGAAATAATCCATCTCAGGGAGATAATTGACATATTTGTGAGTCATCTGCATGTAAATGATAATTAAAACCCCAGATATGGAAGAAATTCCTTCATTTCAGGCTAGGGAGTACAAACAGAATTTAGAATAGTCTTGAAGCATTTCAATATTTAATGACTGGATAACTTCAATTGGTATGTTATGGTGGTTGTCTTGATGTATAAATTTTTTGTTTCATTGAATAAAATTGTGTGAAGCCCAGTAACTTTGTCTGTAACAGGGTTTTGAATTTTGATCCTACTGGTATACAAGGGAAAACTTCAGAGGTCTTGGAAATATCCTCATTAAGCACACTAGAGTACTGTTGCTAACCATCAATCTTTTTCACTTTATCTTTTTATTGTGATAAAATGTACATAACATAGAATTTAACATTTTAATATATTTTAAGTGTACAGTTCTATGGCAATAAGTACATTTACATGATTGTGCAACCATCACCAGCATCCATCTCCAAAAGTTTATTATCTTCCCCAACTGAAACTCAGTATTCATTAAACACTAACTTCCCATTGTCTCCTCCCTCTAGTCCTCAACAACCACCATTCTACTTTCTGTCTCTATTAATTTGACTATACTAGGTACTTAATATAAGTGAAATCACAAAATATTTTTCCTGTTCTGAATGGCTTATTTCACTTAGCATAATATATTTAAAGTTCATGCATGTTGTAGCACGTGTCAGAATTTCCATTTATTTTCAGGCTGAGTAATATTCCACTGTATGCATATACCATGGTTTGCTTATCTTCATTCATCAATAAACACTTGTGTTGTTTCCACATTTTAGCTATTGTGAATAATGCTGCTATGAACAAGGGTGTACAAATATCTCTTCAAGATCCTGCTTTCAACTCTTTGGGGTATATATCTAGTAGTGAAATTGCTAGCTCATTTGTTAGCTGTACTTCTAATTTTTTTGAGAAACGTCCATACTGCTTTCCACAGCCGCACCATTTTATATTTTCACAGTGTGCCAGTGTTTCAATTGTTCTTAGCAAAATGGTGTACTGGATATGACACCAAAAGCACAGGAAACAAAAGCAAATGTGAACAAGTATGAATACATCAAATTAAAAAGCTTCTGCACGAAAAAGGAAAAAATCAACAAAATAAAAAGGCAACCTATAGAATGGGAGAAAATGTTTGCAAATTATGTATCTTATGGGTGGTTAATGTCGAAATATATAGGGAACTCATACAACTCAATGGCAAAACATAAACATACACACACACTTAACCCAATTAAAAACTGGGCAAAGGACCTGAATAGATACATTTCAAAAAAAGACATAGAAATGACCCAAAGATATATGAAAAGATGCTCAATGTCACTAATCATCAGGAAAATGCAAGTCAAAATCATGTTGAGACATCACCTCACACCTGTTCGGATCGTTTTTATCAAAAAGACTAGAGATAATAAGCATTGGCGAAGGTCTGGAGAAAAGAGAACCTTTGTATACTGTTAATGGAAATGTAAATTAGTACAGCCATTATGAAAAATAGTATGGAAGTTCCTCAAATAATTAAAAATAGAACTACCATATGATCCAGAAATCTCACTTCTGGGCATATATTAAAACGAAATATTACTAGAAGTGAGAAAGGGGGAGAGGGCAGGTGAATAGGGAGTAATTGGGTAAGGGACTCAAAAAGTAATTATGATTTATAATGATGAACATACTAGTAATATTGATTTGATCATCATATACTATACACAAATACTGATAGTCAGTTCTGTACCCCATAAATATGTATATATAAAATTTCATAGTTCAAAAAGAGGAAACAAAATCAGTGTCTTGAAGAGTTAAATGACACCCCCCTTTACGTTAATTGCAGCATTATTCACAATAGCCAAGGTATGGAAACAACCTTAGCGTCCATCAGTGGAAGAATGGATAAAGAAGATATGATATGATATGTATATACACACATATATATATATACATGTATACAAAATGAATATTATTCAGCCACAAAAAAGAAGGAAATCCTGCCATCTGCAACACATGGTTGAACCTGGAATTTATTTTGCTAAGTAAATGAAATAAGACACAGAAAGACAAATACAAATACTATATAATCACACATACGTGGAATCTAAAAATTTGAAGTCATAGAAATAAACATAGAAAAGTGGTTGCCAGGGGTTGATGGTTGGGGGAAATGGGGAGATGTTGGTCAAAGGGTATAAACTTTAAGTTATGAGAAGAATAAATTCTGGGGATCTAATGTACACCATCATGACTATAGTTAATAATAATGTATTGCTTACTTAAAATTACTAGGAGACCAGATCTTAAATGTCATTACCACACACAAATGGTAACTTTGTGTGGTGAAGGATGTATTAATTAATTTGATTGTGGTAATTATTACACAATGTATACAAATGTCAAATCATCATGAATATATACAATTATTATTTCTCAATCATAATTGGGAAAGCTGGAAAAAATATTGAATTTGCATTTTCATCATCATTATCAAATATTTGTGGGAAACTTGATGAATGTTTCCGAGGTTGTTGTTTGCATATACGTAATTTCTACATTACAGTTGGGTCTGTTACACTGCTTTTTTTGATGATGGGAGTTAGATAAATGTATTTTGTTACATGGTCAATTTATTTGTGAAAACAGTTTCCTGTCCCTGGAATCTGGATAGCAAGTTAGATAGCTTATATTTGTTTGTCCTTTCTATGCTTTTCTATGCCTTGTTTGTCCTTTCTATGCTCCTCATTTACATAATTTTATTTAATCCTTCCAACAACCCTGTATGGTAGATGGGACAGGTGTAATTCTCACTTTACAGCTGAGGAAGCTGTTGTAGATCATTGAATTGCTTTGATTAAGTTTTCAGAATGAGTTAAAGGGAAACCTGGTCTCCCGATTCTGGGCTCCCTTATCATACTGACTATATGTTCATCCTCAAATAGAGGAGAATCATTACTTATTCTATGGTTTTAGTTTTTCTGTTCCTATGTTGAGAAGGTGAATAAGTAGAGATACCTTGACAGCATTTTACAAACACATTATATATTTCAGTGTGTTTGCCATCAGGCCCAGAGGCAGATAACTCATTTTCTCTCTAGTAGTGAAACTGACATAGGAAATATTACATGATATCAAGGTGTTGTTTATGTGGGTTTAGTGTTTGCCCCTTTTCAGTTGCACTATGGAGGTTCTTTCATTGCTCAGGAATTTCTCTTGTGTGTACCATTACATATTTATCCACATCTGTAACAATGCCATGTATCCTTAGTTCAAAGTGTAAGTAGCTCCTGGTGTCTGGAAGATGTGGACCGATTTCCACTTGACTCTGAAGAAAAAAATATGACTGTAGAGTGAGAACCTTAGTGTCCTTGAAATAATCCTTTGCATATACTCATAACAAGATGCCCTATACTCAACCAGAGTCATC